GTCTGCGTCCGGTCAGCACCTGTGAGTCTGGTCACAGCGTCCGATCAGTGTTTTTAGCGTGTCCAGAAGCGATCGGACGCTGGGAGAGTCCGGTCAGTGATGACTGGACGCGTCCGGTCGCTGAAAAACATCACTGGAACCTCTCTGTAAGTGACCGGACGCTGGGTTCCAGCGTCCGGTCGTTATGACCTGCGCTTCTGGTCAGTGCGCGTTTTGCCCAGTGAAGGGGTAACGGCTATTTAGCCCTTGGGGCTATAAAAGGAGGGTGTGGCCGGCCTTGGGCTGGTTGCCAAGCACCCTCACGCCTATGTGGCTTGTGTAGTAGTACTTGGATGCCCTTTAACTCACTTGTGCTTGCAAGAGTGCGAATCAATTGCGAGTGAGTGTGATTCTAGTGCGTTGCATTGTAAGATTGTATCGAGTGGCACTAGGTGATCGAGTTGCAAGTCGGTGGTGCTTGTTACTCTTGGAGGTTGCCACCTCCTAGACGGCTTGGTGGCGGTCTCCGTCGAAGCCCGCAAGAAGCTTATGCGGTGCTCCGGAGAAGAGCTTTGTGAGGAGCATTGTGCTCGCCCCGCGGGAGCCACAAAGAGCAACTCTAGTTGAGCGTGTCATTGAGCTACCCTCACTTTCGGAGTAGGTTCTTGCGGTGCCCAACGTGCAGGCTTGGCGGGTGATGCCAATTAGCCGCCGAACCTCCAAGTGAGCGATCGACATAACGGGGACGTAGCGTGTTGACAAGCACGTGAACCTCAGGAGAAAATCACTGTGTCAATCTTGTTCTTCCCATTGGTTTGCAATCCCCTTACACAAGCTTGTGATTACTTTTATATACATTATGCTTGTGTAGTTGCTCTTGTAATTAGTTAGCTTGTGTAGCTCACTAGTTACCTTCTTGCTTGTGTAGCCTAGAAGTAGCTCTCTTGTGTGGCTAATTTGGTTTGGGCGACCTTGTTGGTCACTTTGCTTAGTTTGTGTAGCTAAGTATTTGCGCTCTCTAATTTGGCATTGGTTGCCTTGTTATTGAGCATTGCTAGTGAGCTTAGTTGGCTTTGTGCTTTTGCTTATTAGCATGTGTAGGAGCTCCCTCTTTGCTTGAAATACTAGTGGCATAGGTTTGTGTGGCCTTGCTCCTAGAATTGGTTAGGTGAGCTCTTGCTAGTCCGGCACCTTTGTTGCTTAATTAGGATCTTTGAAAGGTGCTAGAGAACATAGATAAAGGGGTGTAGTCTTGGCTAGACCGATAGTTTTAATTCCGCACTTGTTTCGGTTAGCCGACGCGATTAAATTTTAGAAACGACTATTCACCCCGTCTCTAGTCGCCATCTCGACCCTACAGGCACTATGAGCTATGGTATTCGATATACCAGACACCCGAAGGTGTTGGAAGGATATTGTGATACCAACTGGATCTCTGATGCTGTTGAGCTTTATGCCACAAGTGGATATGTATTTTCGCTTGGAGGTGGTGCTGTTTCCTGGAAGTCTTGCAAGCAGACTATCTTAACGAAGTCTACAATGAAAGCAGAACTCACAGCATTAGACGCTGCTGGCTCTAAAGCCGAGGGGCTTCATGATCTCCTTATGGATTTACCGGTTGTTGAAAAACCCATACTGGCTATTTCTATGAACTGCGATAACCAGACTGTGATTACGAAGGTTAATAGTTCTAAGGACAACATGAAGTCCACAAGGCATGTTAAGAGACGACAAAAATCTATCAGAAAATTGAGAAACTCCAGAGTAATAGCGTTGGACTATGTTCACACGTCTAATAATCTGGTAGATCAGTTCACTAAGGGTCTGTCGCGCAATATGATAGAAAGTGCATCGAGAGAGATGGGTTTGAGACCCACATGAAGTTTACTATAGTGGTAACCTATTCTATGTGATCGAAAATCCCGTGAAGTAGGATGGTGAAACAAGCTAGTAGTAAATTGTGAGAAAAGATGCTTAGTAAGACTCATTTCTAATGCATATCTTTCTTTTCTATAAGACATGTTGGTTTTACCTTAATGTGTTTCAAGTGGCTTACAAAAGCAAAGATGTTGTCGTACATAATATCTTTTGAGGAGCACACCTATATGAGTCAGACTGCTGGTCACAGTCTATAAGATTTGGGTGATCTCTAAATACTCATGAAAGGCACTGGACTATGACTTATATGCTTCAAATAGAGGGGATGCCTTTTGCAGCCAAGTATCAGCTAAGGACTTTAGTGACATTCACCTCACACAAAACTGTCAATTCAAGGCTTAGTCCATTATTCAGTTGTGACTGAGTGAAACTATTGCTCTAGATGGATGTTCAACTTGACAGTCTCCATCGAAACACTGGTATATAAAAGAAATATGGTTCTGAGACTACTTTGTTACAAATCCTAGAGTTTGGTGGGGATTGTTGGATATATTATGGGTTTGGCCCGTATAATATTTAATAAATCAAATAAAACTCTATGGTACGTAACATTAAGTGTTGTATGGTTTAATACCGTATGGGATTTTGACTGAACGTTTACTCAGCTTATTTGGTTGGAAATTATTCATCTCAATTGAGAAGCTGAGAAAAGGACAAAGAAGTGCCACACGCGCGCGCCGTCACCACCACCGCCGTTGGCCGGGCCGTGGGAATGGCCGTGGGCGTGGCGAGGCAGGCAGGCGGGCGACGAGCGAGCGAGTGGGCGTGGCCAGGTTTTGCCACTTAATTCACATAATCACGGGAGTTTCTCTCCTTTATGGTGGAGGCGAACTGATTGCGCCAGTTACCGTCTCTCCACTGTCTTCGTCTCCTGGGATCCTCCATAGCCTTTCTTCCTTCCCATCCCAGCCATAAATCTAAAATCCTCCTTCAGTCTTCGTCTCTTCCGCTTCGCTTCCGAGAGGCCATACCTCAGCCACCCTTGGGCTTTCTCCGTCCCATACCTCTGCGTGCACGGAGCAGCGGGAGAGCAGGTGTCTCCGAAACCCTCGTCCGCCTACGAACCTTGCACGGGGTGTGCGACGATTAGGTTTTTGGGGAGCGATTCCGTGACTGCTCGTTCGACATCTTCTTCCCGGTGATCGCTCGCGGAACCCGTCTTCTTCCTGGTGATCGCTCACGGAATCTGTCTTCTTCCTGATGATCCGTTCGTGGAACTACATTGCGAACACCGTCATGCATCGACTATGGTCCACGACTTCGAGCAACGCACTATGTCAACTAGTGCGAATGGAGCCTCCGATGTCCTCGGCATGGGCCCCTCCGCTGGGTACAATCTTATCTCTGTGATTACCGCACTTTGCGTTCTTACTGTATCAATCTGTATGTCATGTATGCATGCTGTAGCGTTTGTCAGTGATATACACATACACATATATATCGTCACGAAACTGCTGATGTTATATTTCTGGATTAAATTGACCATGAAAATGCCTAATTATCTAACAATCTCACCATTGCTGCATTATTTTACCTGTTCTTGTGAATTTGCATTAAACCTTCATTCAATTTATTTATTTATTTGCATTAAACCTGAATTCCTACTATGACATCAAGCAAGCGAAACAAAACAACAAGTGTTGTTCGTCGTAGATAAGATGCACTTGACGCGAACAAGATAAAACAATCAATGCCAGCCTCATGTTTGAATACTGCTTCCCCTTTGACTTGTCTAGCTCTAGCCCCGGCAGCACCATATGAATTTTGAAGTGGTCAGTTCCTAGACTTGGATGAAACTTTGAACTTTGAAGCGCTTCCTCGCATCACTGGCGGCAAATTGTTCTGCACTTCTTCCTTTCCTATCTCTAAACCTCTAATAACAAGCCTTAGAAGTGGGCTGCAAAAAGTAGCAGGAGCTAATCCTTGTGTATTCAGTAATCGTTTTTTCTATTAAAAAACTGTAATCAATTCGATGGTCAATGGAAAGCAGCAGGCGTTTCTTCAAAAAAAAAAATGGAAAGCAGCAGGCGGCCAGGCTGCTCTATTAATTTGTGCCTTCAGGTTTGATGCGCAGGCCGTTTTCTGAAAAGACTGTTCAACCTTTTGTCAGCCAGGAGATTTGGTCCAACCATATGCTTGATGTTTTCCTGACTAACACGCATATATATAGTAGAGGCATTTGCCAGAGATTTCAATTTCTTATCTCCATAACTGGTATCAGGGAATGGGGTAATAGGTAATCTGAAAGGGACTGATACCTGTTCATATTTAATCTCGAACTGATAACAGATGAGGTTCAGCTAAGAGTTGACTCAGGTCTACCAATAGTACCTGATCATCTTCAAGTCTTCTCCTCAAGTCTTCCCTGGATAGACTGCCATTCGTTTTCATTAGATATTTCAAGCATGCTTGGAATACCACAAAGTGACCTTAGTGCAAGGGCAAGGATAGGAATATTCTTCTCCTTTACAGAACTCAGAAGCCCTTGATCGTGCACAGTGCTGTCCTGTTGTTTGAACATCTTGCCTGCTTCCTCCCTTTATGCTCTCTGTATCACGTTCTCCACAGATTCTTGCCTGTTCGGGAGGCCGTATCGTATCGTGGATTATTTACTGTTGGCTGGTTTGGTATGAGAGAAAAACACTATTCCCGGCTGGAAATTTACGATCGTTTACGAGCAAGCGAACAGGCTTGTTCGGTTGAGATTGAGATCATGTCTTTGTCTTTTACTTTCTCGGCTGTCCCAACTCATGTAATCCCAACTCATGTAAACTATTATATCACTATATGTCCTATCAAAAGCTTCACTTTGTCTTGCACTGACAAATTAAATGAGTTGCACTTGTCGTTGAGTAGAGTAATCCAGAAGATTAGTATACTACTTGAGTTTTTTGCATAACTCCAACAAACAATCAAACAGTTGACCCTGATGTAATGATGTGGCAAGTAAGGGGCATGCAACAATTTTTTTTCTCTGATCGTTGTTAAGAGTAAAAAGATCTTTTTTTTCATTTCTCTGAAACTTTATGAGTTGGTTAATTCTCATGATCTCATCTCCTTACGAAACTTTTCTGAACATGCAGGCGGCACAAATTGCAGGAGGTAATGAAAACTTTATTCTCAGAATGAAAGGCCAGACCTTATTGTGCAAATGCCCATGCTTGGATTTGGCAGTGTTTCAAAATTCGATGCCTCAGCAGCACTAAACATGGCCTCACTTAGGACTAACTAGACAGTTTGCCCCCGGAAACAATTCCATTTTCTAAAAAAGAAAGGCGGCTTGCCCTGGACGGTTTTCACTTTCTCTACTCTCTTCGTACGTTTTTAGTAAAGATATTAGGATTTAATTAAAAGTCAAAAATTATAATAAGGTGATCAACAATTGCTTATTTGAAATTTTAAATTATGTGGAAATTGACCAGCAATTATCCATGGAGCCATATTAGTTCACTATATGACTTATGACGTGGTTATTCTTGGGGTTTGAACCGGTGTCACCAGCAGGAATGGGAGCAGCTCTTCTGTGTGTGATCATACTGAGCATTGGGTTTCTCCTCATGCTACACAAGCGAAGGAAGAGGAAGCGATCTGCGTCACTGGCCGGGCTCATCCGTGATGGGACGCCATTGGCATCGCTCAGGAAAGAGTCCAGCATGACGGGGTCGCCGCGTACGCACATCTTCACTTACGAGGAGCTCGACGAGGCCACCGACGGCTTCAGCGACGAACGCGAGCTCGGCGTCGGCGGCTTCGGCACAGTGTACAAAGGCACGACAGGGTTTTCAGTTTCAGCTAGTACTGTCTGATGCATGGTTTCATCAGAGGTAAAAAAAAAAGCTAAGAAATGGCGTGCACGTTGACGGTGTGCAGGGACTCTGCGGGACGGGAACGTGGTGGCGGTGAAGCGGCTGTACAAGAACAGCTACAAGAGCGTGCAGCAGTTCCAGAACGAGGTGGAGATCCTGTCGCGGCTGCGCCACCCGAACCTGGTGACGCTCTACGGCTGCACCTCGCCGCGCAGCAGCCGCGACCTGCTCCTCGTCTACGAGTAAGTCCCCAACGGCACGCTGGCCGACCACCTCCACGGCGCGCGCGCCTCGGCCTCGGCCTCGGCGGCGGGGTCCGACCCCGCGCCGCTGACGCTTTCGTGGCCCGTCCGCCTGGGCGTCGCCGTGGAGACGGCGAGCGCGCTGGAGTACCTCCACGGCGTGGAGCCGCACCAGGTGGTGCACCGCGACGTGAAGACCAACAACATCCTCCTGGACGAGGCGTTCCACGTGAAGGTGGCCGACTTCGGGCTGTCCCGGCTGTTCCCGGCGCACGCCACGCACGTGTCCACGGCGCCGCAGGGCACGCCCGGGTACGTCGACCCCATGTACCACCAGTGCTACCAGCTCACCGACAAGAGCGACGTGTACAGCTTCGGCGTCGTGCTGGTGGAGCTCATCTCCTCCAGGCCCGCCGTGGACATGAGCCGCGCCCGCGCCGGCGGCGGCGGCGACGTCAACCTGGCCAGCATGGCCGTGCACATGATCCAGTGCGACGAGATCGACCGCCTCGTGGACCCACGGATCGGGTACCGGACGGACGGCGGGACGAAGCGCGCCGTGGACCTCGTCGCCGAGATGGCGTTCCGGTGCCTGCAGCCGGAGCAGGACGTCAGGCCGCCCATCGGTGAGGTGCTGGACGCGCTGAGAGAGGCGCAGAGGGTGGAGCAGGATGGATGCGCCGTCAAGGCCAAGGATGACATGGGGTTGCTGAAGAAGAGCAGGGACGGCTCGCCGGACTCCGTCATGTATCAGTGGACCAGCCCATCCACCACTACCCATAACAGCAGTTGAGGATTCAGTCAGAAAAGAAGCATGTCAGTGACCTGTGTGCAGTGTGCTCTATCGCTTATTAGGTTAGGTAACCTGTAAATTGATGCATTTCTGGGAGTGAGTGTTTTTGTTCAGAAAATTTGTCTCGTTCAAAGCTTCCCTGTAAAGGTCATATGGATGATAGAGAATTCAGCTTCTGCGCCAACTGAAACATCTAGCATTCACCGAAAATACTGGTATTATATTGCTGTACACGTAAGATGGAATGCCGTGCTGCATACTTCCGATTGGAGGAATCTTTTCGCGACATTTCCATGTTCACACCTGCACAAGCACAACAAACTTTGTGTGACTTCCCACACCTTCAGGTTGTTGGCCATGGCTTCTGCTGACATGCAGACAAAAAGACCAGTCTGTTTCATTTTCAGAATATATAAAGTAGAAAGCATAATACTGTATCTTTCAGTCAGCGAACCAAGACCTTTTTTTTTGCATACCCAAATTATACATTTTTTGTGTACCCCGCGGCGCCGAGCAGGGACTTCCGCAGCACCAACCAGCGAACAGGGTGATTATCTTCATATAGTAATTCCATGATGTAAAAATGGATAAGGTGGATACAGTATGCACAAACTCAATGACAGAATGTTGCTCTTTGCAAACAGCAAGTATTGAAATACAGATTTCTTGTGTATGACATATTTTTTTATATTGCTTGCAGTATCCAGTTTGCAGAATAAGAATCATTTTTTTTCTTTCTTGCCATTGCAAAAGTTTCAAAAGTAAGATTAAAATTATCCTTGAAAGAAAATATTTAAAGCAGACGCTCACTTCTAACACATCTGGCATGAACAACAATGCAAATTATTCATAAGGTGCTGTTATTAGCATCTGAAATGCCCCTAAAGCCAGTTGTTTAGATATCTTTGAGGTTCACATGCTGCAGCTTGTCAACCCGTGTTATTAGCATCTGGAATTCCCCTAAAGTCAGTAATTTATATATCTTTAAACTCCAATGCTACAGCTTGTAAACTGCAAAGGTTGGGTTCACAATTTCTTTAAATGTTGCATTTGTGTTATAGTCTATGGGTTGTGGATCTGTGGATGTTCATTCAATGTTGTACCCACTGATAACTTTAGTTCAATACTGTAAGCTGTTATGAACGACGTATAGGAATATGAAGTAAAGAATCAAACCACAGAGGAGACACACGATTTAACGTGGAAAACCCCTCCGATGTGAAGGGGAAAAACCACGGGCACCAGCCAGCAACAATCTCACTATCTCAAGAGTTTTGGGTTACACGCCTATGGCGGCTTACAAGAGAATCAAGTCACCACGAAACCCTAGCAAGGGTGTATATATATCAGACAGATTATGGGGCTCACCGCACCCCCCAAACACAGGGGCGAGACCTGATGGGCGGGCTTGAGACTCCGCCACGCCCGGCCCAAGCCTCCGGCGACGGGCCTCCGCTTCGCTCCGTCAGAAGCCTAGCCTATATCCTGGAGTGAATTTGGAACAACTCCAACATAAGCCATCTTTTATTTTCTGCTTTCCTTTATACAGTTCTCATGCAAAAAAAGCAGTCCAAGATTATGAAACGCAAGACAAGGCAAGGGAAAGCTTTGGAGAAGAGGGCAGCAAGATCATTCATGGATGTCTTACAAGAAGTAAGCAACCTTGAGCTATAAGTTTCTTTATTGTCATGTTTATTTTGTCAGTACAATACTGGAAAGATTTTCACTCTGGAACTGTGACAGGCAAATCTGGAATCCCTGCCTCATGTCCCATCATATTTGAGGGCTGCTGTGGGTCCACCGAGTACTTCATCTCGACGGCACTACTGCTCAGTTTGTGGTAGTTCTGCAAACTACACATACGTGAGGTGTGGAACAAGGTTCTGTTCTTGCCGCTGTCAAGTCATACACAATGATACACACTGCCTGAAATTTGTGGCTTGATCAACTGGATGTACAAGACAATTCAAAGCTTCTAGTGGCTTGTTCCAACTGCATGTTTAAAACTTTTATTGCAACCACCATGCCATCAATTAGTTGTCCCTTGTAAACTTTCCCAAAGCTTCCAGCACCTAGCAGGTTGCTTTCACTGAACTTCGCAGTGGCCCGAACAATTTCATGGTACGATACCAATCTATAGTTGTTCATGTCAACTATTCCAGCAGAAACCACCATCTCTTGCTGGGTTTCAACTCTGGCCTACCCCAACTTGTTTGGGACTTAAAGGCTTTGTTGTTGTTGTTGTTGTTGTTGATCAACTGGATGTACAAGCTACATTTGATGTATGTACATTGTCCACTCCCTAGCGATTGCTAATCTGTGGTTTGATCAGTAGGATATGATTGTTGTGTTTTATACTATGTAGGATGGGGTAGCTAAGTGGTAGGAAACTGTTTTTCCTACTGCAGTTTAAATTGCTAGGTAGATCTCTTGTAGGCTTGCCATTTTTTCGTCAGAAATGTTACGTGAGGAGCTGCATTATGCTGTGGTAGGTTTCACTTTCTTCTGCATCCTGTAATGCTTTGCTGTTAATTTGAGAATGCAGGAACTTTTACTGCAAGTTTTTGGTTTCTGTTTCAATTTACATAACAATGGAAATTCCTCTGTATGAGGCAAGGAAGTCTCATCATACACATTATACTCTGAAGAATCAGGATACACCTTATGTCTCTGTTCACTGTTATTATCTGTTACTCGAAAGTTCAATGACTGGCAGTGCATCTAATAACAATGTTTGGTATTCTTTGACAATAAGTTTGTCGAGTAACTCAGTTGTCATGCACTGCTTACTTGCACATTGAAATGCTCGTCAACACCAAATGACGTGGGACCTGCTAATGCTGTAGAATGATAATAATCCTTCTTTATCTTGTTCAGTGTCACAACCACATCCCTCATCCTCACCCTTTCGTCAGGTATGTCACGCGAGCATAGTAAACCCAGTTCAAACATTGACTCAAGGAAGTTATCCAGGCAGCTAATTGAAGGGTCTTGCAGTAAACATTCATCCACAACATCGATAAGTTTTCTTGGAAATGCTTGATTGACCCACATCTTGAGGCTTAGTTGTCCGCCAAACATTGGATCCGTTGGCTTCTTTCCTGTGAGTACTTCAAGAAACATGATCCCATAGCTGAATACGTCACTCTTTCTTGATGCTTTTCCACTGGAACCGTACTCTGGTAAAAAAAATATTTACAAGCAGAAGTATTAATTGCAACAATACATGTATTAGCAATTTAGCATGATAAAAAAACAAGACTTGTGTGACTGGGGGTACCTGGTGCCATATACCCTATTGTTCCTGGCATGCTCACAGAAACTGCAGAGTTGTCATCACCATATAATAGCTTTGCAATGCCGAAGTCTGCCACATGTGCGGTCATGTTTTCATCAAAGAGAACATTGCTTGGCTTTAAGTCACAGTGCAGGACTACCTCACAGTGCTGATAATGCAGATACTCCATTGCTTTTGACACATCCAACAGAATTTCCATCCTCTTCAGGATTCCTAAACATGGCCTGTTTTCACTGTGCAAACATGTTTCCAAGCTACCATTAGGCATGTACTGTAGAACCAATGCTTTGAAGTCCATGTTCGAACAGGTGTTTAGTATCCTTATAAAATTACGGTGTCGAGCCATGTGCAGCACACGGCACTCTGCTTCAAAGCTTCTAGTGGCTTTGTTCCAACTGCATGTTTAAAACTTTTATTGCAACCACCATGCCATCAATTAGTTGTCCCTTGTAAACTTTCCCAAAGCTTCCAGCACCTAGCAGGTTGCTTTCACTGAACTTCGCAGTGGCCCGAACAATTTCATGGTACGATACCAATCTATAGTTGTTCATGTCAACTATTCCAGCAGAAACCACCATCTCTTGCTTCTTCAATTTCTTCCTGATTAACACATATAGGTAGGAAACTAGAGCTCCAACTAATATGTTGCTAGCAAGGATTGATCATATTAGGGTTCGTCGTCCATTATTACTTGAGTGATAGTTACTTTGGCATGGCAGAAACCCTAAACGGGAGACACCACAAAGAGCTGAGTTCCCTATCAAAGACTGAAGGGTAATGTTTGCAAAGACACCTCCTTCTGGTATCGGACCATGTAGCTTGTTGAAGGACAGGTTCAAGATAGCGAGTTCTGTCAATTTGGCCAAGTACCCTGGGATTGTACTGGATAGATCATTGTATGACAGGTCCAATGATTTCAAGCTCTTAAGGTTGCCATAAGACTCTGGAACTGAATCGTTGAATGAGTTGTGTGACAGGTTTAAGTTGGTTAGTGTCTGCAGTTGTCCAAAGGAACCAGGAAGGCTACCAACGAAGATGTTGCTAGAGAGATCAATGATGGAAATTTGTTTCAAGGAACCTATCTGAACTGGCAATGCACCATTCAGTGAATTCTGATACAGGTCAAGTTGCACGAGACTGTCAAGATGGAATAAGCTTGCTGGTATAGTTGATGATAGCCGGTTTTGAGATAGATCCAAGTATATTAACTTGGAGAGGTTGCCTATCTGATCTGGTATGGAGCCAGACAGTTGATTGTCATGGAGGACAAGTTGTTCTAAGTTCCCAAGCACACAAAGCTGTTCTGGGATGGGTCCCGACAAATGGTTGCCATAGAGGTACATAACAATGAGCTTGTTCATCATCATGATTGATTTTGGAATTGAGCTACTCATATGGTTTTCGGATAAGTCTATCCAATTCAGACTGCTTAGGTTTGACATGGTAGCAGGAATTTCACCAGTTAAATTGTTTCTATCTGCAAAGAAAATTGACAATTGACTGGAGAGATTTCCAGTATAGTCGGGGATTCTTCCAGTGAAATGATTTAACCCAACATCAAGTTGTTGGAGTTGTCTACAATTCAAAACACTAGCCAGGAAGTTTAGGTTCCCTTCAAGATAATTCCCGGAAAGAATAACAGATATAACGTGCTACCAAGTGTCATTGGTACAAAACCTGTCAAGAGATTTGCATCCAACTTGTGACAGAACCGTATGAAATAACACATTTTTAGAGGCGTTCGTCTTCTACTAGACACTGAGCACCCAAAAAGTGGCTAAAACGGCACTTCCGTTGAGCACACCCCAAGAAAGAACTCGAAACAATCCACGTTTTACATCCAGAACCGATAATAAGTACGAGCTTACAATACTTAGTTCATTTCATACAACAGAATCTTGGAATGCTATGCGTTTGCCTCATGTATGATTGAGTTATAGATTTATTCAGGTTTATACTTATTAAATAGTTAAAAGTGTCAAAAAATAGAAAATATGCGTTCTCTATGTAATATTACTATTGTTATATCTTATGAACACTTAACATAATCATGTTGTCGCAGAGAAAATTACAGACAGAACATACATTTTCTATTTGTACACACTTTTAATTATTTTAAAACTATTTAATAAGCATAAACCTGAATAAGTCTATAACTCAGTCATACATGATCCAACGAGCATAAAATTTTTACTACATTTCAAGCATACAATGATTAGTCCACTATAAAAATTTCACCACAATAGGACCACAGAAACTGCATTTATGAATTAATCACATAAAGTATAGATGTAAAGCTAGAGCAAAAATTTTGTACTAAAGCATACCATATCATATATTTACTGTGTAGATCTACTCATGTGGAGTCCAACAAAATTGAATTTTCTATTATATGACTTTTCTATAATTTACTATAATTTTTCAAAGATTTAGCCAAAATAAATATAAAAGAAAAAGAGAAAAACCACCTAGAGAAATAGCCAGAGAGGTAATATGTCCGGTTTGAAAAGATATGGGAGGAGTTATGTCCGGTTTTGTAGTTCAGGGAGGAAAAACTAACTTTTTCGATAGTTGAGGGAGATCAAAGTAGACTTTTTCCGACAATGTATTAGCTACTTCTCCTACCGGCCCATGGCTGGGTCATGACACACCATCATCGATGGTCTCTCGGGGGGAGTAGTGAACAGCGTCGACAGTCTCTTGGGAGGGAAGCCAGCCAAGACGAGCAAGAAGAAAGTCTCTGGTTCCAACAATTTTTTTTTTATCTCATGGTTCCAACAATTAACGAGAGGGTACAAATTAAAGACACACAGAGTATGTATCTATGTTATCCATGGTCTACAACAAAATTATCTTTTCTTTATTTTTATTTTTATATCCATGTTTGTTTTAAATTTCAATGTTGTCCTGTGGGTTAATATCCATCTGAGGGCTTGTTTGGTTGTACACAAATACACCCCAATCAAACTCTCCCAAACTATGTGGATTAGGGTGAATTTATGTGCAGCAAAAAAGACTGAATGTTATTTTCTTCGGTGCTGTGTGCAAATGGGCCTTTACTGTAAGTACTCACTGTTGTTGCGCGTGTAGACGCTTGTGGTTTATATATATTACGAACTGTTGTGGAAATACTCTTATATTGAGCACAGCTGCTCACGATGTTGCAATGGGGTTTTCCATCTCTGCACAGCATGCAGCTGTGGTCTTTCCTTTTTCTCTTTGGTTGAGGGCAACGTATCATTTGCAAATCAACTAACCTGTGCAAACTTAGAAACTACCAATCATGACCATTACATGCTAATCCAATGGATGGGTTAAGAGGTGGGATTTTTTTGCGCTTAAGTCTCCCACCCGCTGGCTTTTTTTTTGCGCTTAAGCCCCCTTACCTCATTCATTAGATCAGCATTTAGTGGTCCTGATCAATAGTTTCTAAGTTTACACAGATTGGTTGGTTTACACCTGATATGTTGCCTTGATTGAGTTGCATATATGTGCTGATTAAAATTGAGACAGTGTGCCCAAGCTGTTGTAAACTTGATTTTCGGCCCTAGCTGCAATAGATACAACGGTCAGTTCCAGCCTATAGAGCCCAGCCAACCAGTGACTTGTCATTAGGCCCAGTAGCTTTTTTTTAAGAAAATGGAAGAAACTTCTCCTGCTTCTGCATCTCTACATACAGTATTTACATTATTACATAGTTTGAACGATATTGCTGATGAGTCAGGTAAACAAGAAATGCAAAAATCATGCACGATAGAGTATATTATTAAATTTTGGAGGCGAACAACTTCAATGCAATTAGGCCCGGTAGCCAGACGGAAGACAGCCCTCCACTAAGCCAGGCCAGATGGGTCAGCCACTAGCAGCGACGGAGCCAGCGGTGGGGCTAGGGCTCTAGCCCCGTGGAGCCTCTCTAAGTTTTCTTTTAAAATTTTATACATATATATATTAGGTAAGAGGAGCTAAAATTAATAGAAGATAAAAAAAACCTCTATTCTTTTATTCAGTCTCTCTTATTTTTTTTTCTGGCTTCGTCCCGCAGGCACCACTCGTACGTGTTCCGCGACGGCGACGAGCTCGCGCCGTACGGCTACGCGGGGCTGTGCCAGAGCGTCATCGGCATGCCCGTGCTGCGGAGGTCCCTGCTCGGCGCCGCGGGGTCGTCCACCAGCCCGCTGGACGCCGCCGTGCCCGCGCTCAACATGGGGTTCAAGCTGAGCTGGAGGCCGGAGGCGGACGGGGAGTGCGGACAGTGCGAGAGAGCCGGCGGCCTGTGCGGCCGCCGTCGTCGGCAGGAGGGGCACGGGCCGTGGACCTTCGCGTGCTTCCGGGCTGCGGCGAACCCAGCGTGGATTCCTCCGAAAACTCCAGGTACGCAGTACGCTGTACGTGCATATATTGCTCTCCTCAAGGCGTTTTTTATAGAGATTTCCTAGATTTTTGCTGCGTCAAGGTTTAATTATAAATGGGCTTAACAATATGGAGCTCTCCGAGACGCGTAGTTAAGACTTGGCCTGACAGCAAGTCAGGCAAACTATAAAGGAAGGCTTGCTGTCAGGCAAACTATAAAGGAAGGCCCAAGTACACTGGGCCTTAGCCCGTATAAGTCCGGTCTCCGGTGGACTTAAGATTTGTTGAATTGGTCCAATCGGCACGCTGAGACGTGAGACCTCTCTCAAGCCGGTCACAATTAGCAGCTTTAGCAGAAAAGCCACACCAAACATCCAAAGAGGATGAGCTGTGTTTTTTTTTTGTCTAAAAGAGGAGCTGGAGCTGTTTTTTTTTAGGGAGCTACTTCTAGAGACTTCTATTCTAGCTCCGGTTACTGTGGAACTTTTGGAAGATGAGCCGTGCCAAATAGACACTAAGATTTTACCTTGTCAGTTGTCTGGTCCATTCCCTATCACATCTATTTCGGTTTATTGACCCTAGGCAACCCAAAGAGCAAATCACCACAGTAGTCACTGCTAGCACACTATGATGTTGTACTCCAAGTCGAAATCCTAGCACTATGACCATGGTGCTCAACGAGTTAGCACTACGATACATTACCTTCTGTGATCATTAGCCCATCAGGGGTTGTGTTTCAGGGTTTGTGGGTTGACAAATAGTCCAAACCCCAAACCCTAGCATATTACCTTTATGGTCATTCGGGTCGAGTTTTAGGATTTGTGGGTTGTCGAATACCCAGAAACAATATGTGTTGGAAGGTGGATCATGCAGACACGCCATGGCCATTGGTGACGGAAGTCTAGTTGTGGACTTGTGGTATAACATATACCGAATGGTGTGTGTTCAGATAATGTAAGGTCGAAGAAAGTATTGATGGAGTCGACAAAGATAGAAGATAACGGTGGGAAAATGAGAAAAGACACCTAGACCACTGGTTAAAACGTGGGGAAGTAGGTTGGTAATATTCTAGGAAAATGATAGCTTATAATGAGATTCCAATCAGGATTACCGAATTTCAATGTTTCTACTGATAAACAATATATTATTTTCCATTAAAAATTGTACTTTTAATTTTTTTAGTGATATATAGTTTCTATGTCCACTGTTGAGAACATGTATGCGGTATTTAGTGCAGGCTTACAAGTAAGTCACATGATAAAAAATGGAGAAAATAAAGAACTAGTTGGGTGACCAAACTAAAGATAGGTATCCTAGGAGACTGTCCGCCAATTGGGCTAGGTGAAATCCAATGAAGCTTAAGATGCATGCCCGAAACCTTGTGGCGTCGTGCGTCCGTATGCCACTTTAATTAGATACAGGTGGAGTAGGCATCGATGAACACACCACCTCAATATTTTTCTCTCACAATAAATCAGCGAACAATACTTTTCAGCCTTACTTTTCAGCGAAGCGAACATAACCTTAAGATGCATACCCCAAACCTTGTGGCGTCGTGCGGCATATGCCACTTTAGTTAGATACGGGCGGAGTAGGTAACGATGAACACATCACCTCTGGAGGATCACGCAAGTGAGGGTAAGGTTGTGAGTACATCAGATGTTTTGGGAATGTCGGAAGGGGTTTTCGGATACTAATAAAAAAAAAATAATTACATAGCTCGCCTAAAAACTGCGAGACGAATTTATTAAGCCTAATTAATCCATCATTAGCGCATGCTAGTTACTGTAGCACTTATGGCTAATCATGGACTAATTAGTCTTAAAACATTCGTCTCGCGATTTCCAACTAAACTGTGCAATTAGTTTTTTTTCGTCTATATTTAATACTCTATGTATGTGCCGTAAAATTCGATATAATAGTTTGGGCCAAATTTTTTTTGAAACAGTATGCGACTACTCCCGTTTTCCAGCTCGTCTGGTGAGGGTAAGAAAACAAAAAAAGGATCGAATGCGAAATTTCGATTCAGCTGCTCGCACTTGGCCTAGTTGACCTCCTGCTTGACTAGTTCGACTGGAAGTGGAGCTGCGACGCGATGTGAACGTCCGGGACTTTAAACATGCAGTGACTTCTAAACATGTAAGCACCTATCCCACCCAGTCTCGAGTTTTCTCGTCGATTAGACTCCGGGAAAAAGAAGGCGACGCGCAACTTACAGCATGTTCGCTTGCTCGTAAATGATCGTAAATTTCCAGTCGAGAACAGTGCTTTTCTCTCACACCAAACCAGTCAACAGTAAATAATCCACGATACGATACGGCCTCCCGAACAGGCTGTTAATTGTTCCGGTTCCACAACTCTAAGATTTTACGAACTCATCTATCGTCTCCAAACGCGACGCGCGATGCACGATGACTTAACATGCAAGCGTCGTCTCCCGATGTCGAGTTCTCTTTTCACCCGAGGCACGACGCGTGATTTGTTTCACTCCCAAAATTCCACGTACGTACGTACTCATCTTCAGTCTTCACTCGTTTTCGCTGACAAAGTGGTAATGGTAATTGGTAACGCGTACAGTCTTCAGAGCGACCGACACTTAATCCACATACTCATCAGACTCCTCAGACCTCAGTCATCAGCTTGGACTAGCAGACACGTTCTTTTTGTTCTAGTTAAAAGATGTTTCAGCACTATCCTCACCAAACAGATCTTGGGTCGCTGGCCAATGGGCCACACGGCATATGGACCCACATGTCGGGCCTGCTTCCACCAATTGAGGTCCACATCAGCGTCCTGCTCAGCAAAGCCTCCTGACCTCCTCCAGCGTCTCGGTCACCACCCAGAGCAGAGAAGCCAAGCTCGGACCGGTCAGCTAGCTGATTCGGCTTCCGCAACATCCACTGCGCCTTCCACGCCGCATGCATCATCTTCTTCTCTGTGTTCTTCCCAAATCGCATTCGTCTCAGTCTCTTCCTCGATCGTCCCTCGGTGCTATCTCCTGCCGCAGAGTTGCGTGCGTGCCTTCCAACACCTGCCCTGCTTTGCCCAGCCATGCTGCTTCTTCTCACCCTGGTAGTCAGTCCCACTCCAACCACTGCCGCCCAAAACATGACAACGACGACGACGACGACGACGCCGTCCTGCCCGCCGGCGTCGTGCGGCGGCCTCAACATCACCTACCCGTTCTGGCTCACCGGCACGCATCCGCCGGAGTGCGGCTACAAGGCCTTCCAGGTCACCTGCGACAGGGGCAACGCCTCCCTCAAGAACTCGTTCTGGCAGTACCAGATCCTGAACATATCCTACGACGAAAGCTCGTTCATACTAGCCACCAACGTGGACCTGTCGGACGGCACTTGCAACTTCGAGCTCTTCTCCGACGCCTCCACCGACCTCGGCCTCGCGCCCTTCACGATTAGTTCCCAAAACCTGCAGCTGTTCTTCGTTTACCGCTGCGACCTGCGGGAACGGCATGCGCCTCATTCTTGGGCGCCCGTGAACTGCACGGACGAGGATGACTCGTCCGAGTCGTTTGCGTTGCTCGCTGGGAATTACACGCCCGGCGACACCAGTCCAGCGATGCCGCTGCCGGCGAACTGCAACTTGTCGTCGATGATGCCGGTGCTGGGATACGAGGGGGCGACGGGGGCGGACTATCAGCGCCTGTTGAAGCGTGGATTCCTGCTCGAGTACACGGACGACGGCTGCGGGGATTGCACCGCGAGCGGCGGCCAGTGCCGGATCGACGTCGCCCACGACGTGTCCTGGTGCCACTGCTCCGACGACGACGAGCAACCCTTGCCGTATATTTGCGGTTAGTATGCATATTACGTTTATGATTCAGTAATTTCATTCTTTTTCTCTACTGTTTCCTCCATCTTTGTTTTGATTGCCTGCACAATATTCGACTCATAACCAAAGGCGTATTCGGATTTCTCACCGTGTTGCCTCGCCTGGCCTCGCTCGGCTAAGCCAGCGGAGGTGAGCTAAATTGGCTCTCTCGAGCGGGAAGGAGAAATCTTGAAAGCGCGGGTAACATAAGATAGAACGGTAATGAAACCAAATACTGTGAACTTTGCTCAGCCAGGCAAGGCGAGCACCGCTGAGGAATCTAAACATGCCCCAAAGTGCTTAAGCTTGACATTAGCAAAACACACGTAATATCAAGCACGCAAGAAAATTTCTTTACTTAAAGCGTCAATTAAATTGTTGTTTAACCTGTGTCACGACTCAAGTGCGCCATTATACAAATACAATGTCAATGGAATGCAGTACCATTCATTGATTCGAGTTTACAATGTCACCCATCATTCCATCATCATGGTAAACTCAAAACAACCAAAGATACTTTCGAATGTTGAATTTTCAAGATTACTGTATTTTGGTAATAATAACTGTGCGCGTGTGTGGGTGAGCAAGAGTATAATGCATAGTTTGTACCATGTGCCACGAAACTCTGCTTAAAAAGCATAGAACTCATTTTTAAAACACATAACCGGTTACCAAATGCCATGTCGAATGTGTTTCAGATGGTAGACTCGGTGCATGACTCAAACTCACTATAAAATCCAAATCATGATGCACACACTCATAATACAAAAAGAAGATTTAAACATTCTTATTTGGTAAGGTGTAGACTACCCACACTATAAAAATATATGAAAATGCGCCCTTTGGTGAAAAAGATTTATGCTTTATGCCTTTTCGTTTTGGTGAAAAGGAAAAATCTCCCCATCATTTATAAATTTAATATCGAAAAGATATATATAATTTGATCTGACGGAGATGATTATGTAGAGACACGTGGCATGAATCCACAGTGGGTGCCCATGGGTGCATGGTGGGAATAGTCCCCCACCCAATTTTTTCAGTTAGTTCACGGAGAAACCATTGGTCCTGGTCTCCTGCAGGACTGTTTGTATCCCAGGGTTTAAAGTTTATGCATTAAGCTTTAGATCATTTTAGCTCTTGAGGCTCTAAATAAATGGTCTAAAATCCTGTCTAAAGTTTAGCCAACATCACAAAAACTTCAGACCACACAAGTGAGCAAAAGTGGTCTAAATTAAAGTTTAAGTCCTCAATTTAAGCCATTAAACTTTAGACCAGAGAATTCAAACATGCCCTAAATATTCAAAACAACAACCTTTTCCAAAAAAAAACAACAAAGACAATATGGAAGCAGTGAGTGACGATCTTTCAAAAAAATGGAGAAAGTTTAGACTGAGTAGCTAGCTTAGATGTTCAATGTTTTTTTGCGACTTCTTCTGAAACACCTGAAAACATTTAAAAACATATCCTTGCAACATATATGTATTTGCAACATTCAGATCTACTTTTCCAACATCCAGATAAAACACTTGCAATATACGTCTGGAACAGATGAAACATTTATAACATACACTTGAAACATACGTGTATAGCCATTACAACATGTGCAACATCCCGATCTACTTTTGCAACATCGATATACAACACTTGTAACATACCTCTAGAACATCTGGAACATCTGAAACACTTGAAACATACCCTTGCAACATGCGCTAATCAGGGGGACGTCAACAGCCCAGCGTACACCCAGGCGCAGTCCTCCCCTTCCTGCCGGCATGCGAGGTTGATGGGGGCACAAGCGCAGGCCTCCCCAGGCGCATGCCTCCCCTTCCGCGATGGGTGAGTTGGATGGAGGCACGACACTGGATGGTGGCACAGACCGTGGAGCAGCCAGGGATGGGGCGTGCGAGCAGTCAAGGATGGGCGCGGGTGCAGCGCCACCGTGCTGGAGAAGGCCGCGGCAGGCGGGTGCGCTTCCTACGGCGTGTGGCCCTGCGCAGCTGCGCTGGAGAAGACGAGCGACTTTTTTTTGGAGATACAGAGGCGAAGTGTTTGAAGCAGTGAGCGGAGTGAGGGTGCATGGCATCCGGAGGGGCGGATACCCACATCCTATCATTACCGTTTATAAAAATAGCTTATAGCTTATTCACATAGCACGTTTTCCGCATCCACAATTGTCTTTGGTTTTTTTGACAAACCCT